CTTGGGTCATGTTCGTGAGGCCCGCGAGCACATTGTATTGTTGTTGTCAGGGACGGCGGGGGTGTCAGCAGATTCCCTGCTGCGCGCAGGGCTACCATCCCTGACAGAAAACAATACAACATGCACCTCGCGGCCAAATCTGGATCATGCGCGGCCATCCCGCGATCACTGTCAAACGGTTTTTGACAGGGACCGCGGGGGTGGTGGCGCGTGGCCTGCTGTGCGCAGGCCCACCAGACACAATGATGGGTATAGGTTTTCGACAAGGATGGTGGGGGCCGACATGTTTCCCGGTGTGTGCTGTCACGTGCACAGGCGCACCTGACGCACTCTGCACGTGCCCCGAACGTGGTGCACCTGGCGCGGCTGGAGTGTGCGGCACACCTGGCGCACTCGGAGCACGTGGCGCATCTGGCGCACCATTCGTGCCTGGCACGCTCGGCGCCCAGGGGTGCCTGGCGCGCGTGGCGCCCCTGGCACGCGTGGCGCACCTCGCCCAAGCGTCGCGCACCTGGGGTCGGCTTTGGTTCTCAGTAGCTGTCCATCCGAAGACGACCGCTGAACATGCTCAGGCTCGGGTGTTACTTATGTGTTGGGAGGACGGGTGGGAGTGAGCTAGACGGCTTGCGGGCGGGTGGGTAGCTTGACCCCTCCCCCGACCCCCTCCCGTGGACCTGGACAGGGGCTCCGCGAAGGGTTGGAGCGTCCAAGTTGGCTTAAGATGGCTCCAAGAGCGCCTGGGAGAGCCCAAGATGAACTGTAAGATGGCTCAAGATAGCGCAGGATGGCTCATTACGGCTTCCTGGATGCTCCAAGAGGCTCAAAGACCGCCCCAAGACGGCACCGAATGGCCCGAACACTCTCTAAGGAGGCCCCCGACAGGCCAAAATCTTGCAAAAACCATCGGACAAATCACTGTTGCTTGCTTTCTCGCCTTTTCGCTTCCGATGGCCTTCCGAGGCCTCAAGATGGCTCCAAGATGGCCCAAGAGGGCCCCACGAGGGGCCCAAGAGAGCCCCAAAACGGCCCCGAGAGCGCTCCACGAGCGATCTTAGAGGGGTCCAAGAGGCGGTGTTTGGAGCTCCCGAGGGGGGGGCATCCCGTTCTTTGATCGATGTCCTCCAAGATGGCCACAAGAGCGCCCCTCAAGCCCCCAAGAGCGCAGCGAAAGGGTCCCAGGAGGCGCCCATACGGCCCCAAGAGGCGCCCAAACGGCCCGCCTGGGCATCGTTTCTGGATGGGCTGGTGGGGTTACATTTTTCGTCGCAACCGCAAGCGAAGGCGCCAGCGGCGTCTCGAGTCGGCTAGGGCTACGAGCAGAACTAATTGCCTAGCGCGTTCGCAGGCATCATCAGAACCTACCGCCGGGGGAAGCTGCTGCGCCGAGGCTGGTGGGGTTACGCGAAATGTCTAGAATATCATAGATTGGCGGAAGCCCCTTTAGCAAAACGCCTTTTTGCGGAAGCTGCTGGGGCACTCCACGGGTGCTCGCGGCACCGCGTTCCGAGTGCACCCGGAGGGAGTCACGAATCGATGCCCCAAACCGCCCGAACGTGTCCGGCGAAACGCAGGTCGACGTGCGAAGCAGACCAGGGACTGCACAAGTGCACAACACTTGCATGCCAGTGTCGAGGGAAACCGCGCAGGTTCCCCCAGTCGCCTTGTCTGGGCGGGCGCTCGCTCCAGGGCCGACACGCAGCCTCCGCCGAGACAGCTTCGGAAAGCGGAGGGAGACGGACCCAAGACCCCCGCGCGTCGGGAAAGAATCACGGCGGACACCGGTGCGAAATGCTCGGCCTCGAAGGGCCCCGCCCGGGCCTCCACACCATAGCCGGCCCCCAAGAAGAGGTCCAGACCTCCGGGGCCTCGTCATGAAGAGTCATGACGCCGGGGGTCTGGGCAGGAGGAGCGACGACGACGACGACGACCTGCAGAGGGCCAATCAAAGCGTCCAAAAACCTCGGAACTCGAACCGCGAACCCCAGCGCTCGATGGATCGATCCTCACGACGGAAATCCTTGATTGTAGACCCCTGGAGATCTCTGCCCTTCCCCGGGACCAGCTCTTCCGTTCGCAAGCGGCGAACGTATCCACATCCGCGCCCTCGCGGTTTGGATTCTTTGGCGGGATCCCGCGGATACGCGGTCGCATGTGTACTTGTCGCGCGGGGGCATCTGCAAACAAACAGCCCTATCCACGCACGCCGCGGCAGCAGTCTGGCACGCGCCCCGTGCGCACTTGTCGCTGGCCTCCCCCAAGCAAGAGGTGCGCACACCGGCACGCGCCCAGCCCAAGCAGAGGGGTGGGGAAGAGGGAGGGGTTTTGACTCGACTGCGGGCTGAGCGTGTTTCTGGGATGACCCCCGCAGGACGGCTCGGGACGGAGGCCCCCGAACGGAGACCACCGAGGAAGCTCCTGGGGATGCAATGAGCGAGTCGCCCACACCGAGGAAGGAAACGCGGAGGGGGGGGGTCCAAGACCCCAAGCTGGCCGCCACACCTCAGACATGCCCGACGATGCTCCCCGAGGGGCCCTAACAGACTCCGCCTCACAGGCGCCCGAAGGCTTCTTGCCCTGGGAGGCCAAGAGCGTCCTAGTCTGCGCAGATGGAAGTGGCTGTCAAACTAGCCCAGGACTCAGGGGTTCGGCCACAGCCCTGCCGACGGCGAAGGGGCAGGCGGGGCAGAGAGGGGAGGGACAAGAAACGAAGGGCACGCACACGGCCAGCAAGCCTCCCAGCCCGGCACGCACGGAAACGTCTCTGGGTAACCAGATCTACTGCCGTCATCAATGCCACGCCGCGCTGCGGGAGCCCAACTAAGCCAGAGTCGCGGAGCTGTTGTCGCTGGGGCCGAACATCCAGTCAGTTCCCAAAGCAAATCCCTGGCCAGCGACAGTGCAATAAGCCGCTGCGCACCCCTTTCGCGCGCTCTGATGCCGCCATTGTGGCAGATGTTGCCCGCGACCTTCACTTCCCCCTTTACACTCAGCATCGGCAACGCTTCTGGCCTCTGCCTGGCCTTCTCGCACGCGCTGGCGACGGCACAGCAGCGCGACGCTCGCAAGGCTGTCGCAGGCTCCGTCCAGATCCATCCCTGCCCTCCCGCACCTCGCCCAGCAGCCACGAGGTCCGCTGCCACCGTCCGCCACTCCCGGACGCTCTGCTCCACGAGCCCAGGAGGCCCCTGCCAGCTGAAAAGGCCATCGAGACTGCGCAGACTGAGGGGTGTGCTACTGGATGTACTGCAGGGGGCCGAGGGATGTGTAAGAGCAGAAAGCCTTTTTAAATAAAGTCTGCGTGAAACACGGCACAGCAATGTCAGGATGAGACCTGTCAGTCCAGCTCCAAACTGCACTCAGAAACGGCTCTGCTCAGACGTCTCCAGCTGGCACCTCCGACTTGCCAAACTGAGCGGGGAAGAGCGCCGGGCGCGCGCGCGCGCCACGCCGGGCATGACGGGGCGCGGGAGCCTCTCGCCGCGCGCCGCTGCTCCTGGGCGACGGCGTGCGCCGGCTCCCCCCGTGCCCCCGTCGGCCCTATCTAGGGGGCACACAAACCTACCTCGCTCTTGACCACCCTCGCTTCCAAGAGATACCAAGCGATGCCAAACTACGACTGTACTGGTCAGGCCGCTTGACGAGGAGGCGCGTGGTATGGCTTGGTTTTTCCTGGAAGCGAAAGCGGGGTAGGTAATTCACGCTCTGACTATATGCGAGCTCCCCGCCCCACCCTGCCCAGAGCGGGCGCGAGCGAGACGAGGACCCCGGAGCTCTGCCGGGGCCCGCTCCTGGCGGGTGCTTCGGGCCGCGCCCGGCCGCGGCGACGGAGGCGTCCAGCCGTGGCCCCGAAGCAGCGCAGGGAAGCTGCCAGATCCGGCAGGCAGGCCGCCGCGCGCGTAGAGGCCCCAGCATGGCCACGTGTCCGAGGCGCGCCCGCGGCCGCGGCGCCGAGGGCCCTCCCATGGAGGGCCCAGGCCGCGCCGAAGAAAGAGCAGCGCAAAACTCCTGCACTGGGGGCGGCGAGCGGGGGCAAACGGCCCAGGGGGATGGGCAATCATGCGGGGTATGCCGACCCCCATCGCAGGCAGGCTTTGGGTGTTTTTTTTCTCGAATGGACTAGAACGTTGGGCCCCAACCCGGGAATGCGCGACGGGGGGCGTCCATCCTCGATAGGGGTGCGTCCGAATAGCCCCCCCCCGGGGTGCATCCCAGAGGCCAGACTTCTCGGGCAGAACCCGGGCACTGGGGGAGAACAAAAATAGTCCGTGAGGCAACGCGTGTATCCAGGGGCGCCGATGGCCCACGCCTTCGGCGCGGCTCCGCGGCGAATGCGCGCAACGCCCGCCCTTGGGCTTAAGTCGGGCCTGTCCCTGTACAGGAAGCATCTTCAAAAATAGTCAAACAAATTGTCTGGGGCTGACTTTTCCACTGTTGTTTGACCCTCTTGGAAGATATGTGTGGGGTACGTCGTATTTTTTGTTCGTCCCACGTCCCCCTGTACGAGGACACGCCCGACCTACCCCTGGGCTGTTCGCCCCCCACCATCCCCCTCGCCACCTCCTGTTGGCGGGCGCTGGAAGGGGGAAGGACGGGCACTCTTGGGAACGGCCAGAGGGCGGCGGGAGGCCGTGGGCACCTGCTCTTGGCGCCTCGGGCGCCTCCGAGCCAAGTCGGCCACGCCCGGGGCGGCGAGAGAGAGGAAAGAGGACGAGGGGGCAGCGGGGAGGCAGGGGACACCCCGCCCGCACCTCGCCCCTATTGAAGGGGCCCCAGGACACACAGATACATACACACAAATGAAAAGATTACCCATCTGTTCCCACATTTTCTGGGTGTTTGCCTTCCCCCCCACTTCCCATATCTTCCCACATGTTCCTGGGAATCGAGGATGAATTGTGTCTGTTTTGTTTTGACATATTGGCGCGCGCCCTCCCTGCACGCGGCGGCGCCGCCGCGACCCGCGCGCGGCACGCCGACGCGCGGCCCCCGCGGCGGCGCGCCTCCAGCTGCACCTGCTGGTCCGGGTCGCCCGCGGCGGCCTGCGGCCCGCAGGGGCGCAGGAGGGCCCGCTCTCGGGCGGCGCTGTCGTGGAGGGGCAGCGACGGTGAGGGGGCCCCGGGGCACACAACTCCATACACACAGATAACAGGATCCCCCATATTTTCCCCTATATATATATATATATATATATGTATATATATTATATGTTTATATATATATATGTTTATATATATATATATATATTATATATATATATATTCGATTATTTGTTTTTGTGGGGGGGGGCGTTTTCCCCCCCCCACTTCCCATATTTTCCCATCTTTTCCTGGGGATCGACGATTGATTGTGTCTGCGTGTTTTTGTCCCTCCTGAGATAGGGGGGATGGGCATAGGGGGGGGATGCATCGACCTGGAATCGGCGACATATCGTCGATAGATCGGCGATGGGCCCCCAATTCGGTTCCTTCCTGGGCGGCTTGGGGCTATCAGGCCCCTCGCGGCAATCAATGTCCCCCCCTGTGCCTATCCCCCCCTATCGTTGCCCCTGATGCAATGGAGGGGCGAAGAGTGATGGGGCGAAGAGTCGGGAAGACGCAAGACTCGGGTGAGAGGGGGACTTTGGTTGGCCCGACAAGGCCGTCGTGGAGATGGCGCGACCCCCTGTGAAATGTGACGCGGGCTCCCGCTGCAAACATCCCGCGAGAACTGCACCGTCAACATCCAGGACGCGCTCGTCACAGAGCGCCGGCAATTCCGAGTTCCGGCGCGCTCGAGGCTGACGTGTCCCCGAGAGAAGCGTGCACCGTTCGCGCCACGCGTGGGCCCTGGGGGCACAAGCGGTACACCTCTCTGCACCCCCTCCCCCTTGATCGCCCCCCAGAAGTGCCACGCGCGAGGGCCAGGTTGGCGGGATCCACCGGCTCGGTCGAAGAAGGTGCGCCTGGGACGGCTGCGATGTCCCATCATGGACAATGCCGGGAGACGTAAGACTCGGGTTGTGAGCGTTTTTTTATTCAGCGTTTCGACTTTGGGGGGCGGAAGGGGGGGGGGAGGGGGGGGGTCTGACTCCAGACCTCTGCTTAGTGCGACTGTTTGCAAGAGTGCTGCCTCTGGGGGAGACTCCACCCGCCCAAAACAGTCGCAACAAAAACAACCAAGATCTACTCCGAGGGGGGGGGAGGGGGGGGGGCGCGAAAACACGACCACATTCGGGGGGCCCGGGTTGGCCTAACGGGGCCGCCAGGAGAGCGACGAGACCCAGTTTGAAACGTGTGACGCGAACTCCCGCTGCAAACGTCCCACGAAACCTGGACCGTCGAGATCCCGGACGGGCCCGTCAAGAAGCATCGGCAAACCCAAGATCCGGCGACCTCGACGCCTGCGCTGCCCCGGCAGTGCCGGAACGAGGCCAAGAGCGCGAAGGCCGCCGTGCCCAAACGCCACCCCCTCTCGGCACGCTCTGGCAGGAGGCGGCCGCCTACCAGGACAGGGGGGATCGCGGGAGGCCGCCAACGCACGTGAACATCATGTGCACCCACCCTGGTCGGGCCCAGGACGGGTCCAGGCTCAGTGCGTACAGTCAACCCGTACCAGAAGGATGCGTGGTACAGTCGGACTTCATTGGACAGGGCACGCGAGAGGAAAGACCCTTCCAGGGGCCACATTGCCACAGGAATGCAGGAGGCATGGGTCGCGAGATACAGGACACAAGGGTACCCCTGCTTTGGCAGGGTCGACCTACTCATCCGGGCCGACTGTGAGGACGCAAGCGCCTTGTAGGCCCACGGGAACGCTTTTCACTGGCGTCGCTATTACCATGATCGTGCCGTCGCTGCTGTCATCATCGTCACCAGCGTCGCTAATACCATGATCGTGCCTACCGTTGCCGACGTTGCCATGACGCCGCGCCCGCCACAATCCCCCACTCGCACTGAAGCGCCCGATGGGAAGTGCCCAGCGGTCAACGCCACCGCGGCCGCGGCGATCGCGCCAAAGTAGCTGGCCGCTCTTCGCCCGACCGCGCGCGCTTGTGCGGCCACGGCGATGCGCCAGCCAGCGCCGAGCGGTCATCGCAATCGCCGCCGCGTGAGCTTTGCAAGCCCACTTGCGGGAGGGTGGGTGGGATGGTTGCGCGGACAGTGGAATGAATTGACAATATCATGCTCGGCAGGGTGAATTATCCTTATACAAAATATTCGGATATTACCCCCCAAAAAACTAACGGGACACATTTTCGTGTTGTGACATTCTCGAAATCCACTGTACATACGATTCTGCCCCATCGTGCGCCCTAGATAGGAAGGAACTCGTACCATCCCAAACACGCCGGTAACGGTTCCCTCCCTCACTTGTTGGAGAAAACGATGCGCGCGCACTCGTTCATAAAGAAGCAGCAGGTTTCATCACCCCCTTACAAAACATGCGCAGTGCACCCGCGCACGTCGTCGCGTGCGCATGCCGGATTGTGCGATAAGAACGTCTTCGTGCGCTTTTCTGACTTGTTAAGGAAAGCGTCGGTACTTCATCATTTTCAACAAACGCTACCAAACGGGCTTCGCGCGCGCATGTCGAAATCGCTCGAAGGGCCTCGCGCGCGTGCTGTCGCGAGAATATGTTGCAAGAGTGGGTCGAAGAGTACGCGCGCGCGTCGTCGCGCTCGCATGCCGACATCCGTCAAAAACCTTTGGTGTTGTAGCGATGTAAAAACCGACTGTCCAAACACATATAGAAACACCCAGTTTCGAAACATCAGCTTTCCAAATAAAACGTGCGCTCGCGCTCAAAAGAAAACACCGGTGTTTCAACATGTTCGTGAAATTCTGCCAAATGGGCCTCTGGCACCGCATGCCGAAATCATTCGCACGCCCTTGCGCGCGTGCTGGGGGGTGGGCGCGATCCGTCTCACATGATACCATGCAGACCACCCTCGCGCGTCGGCCGCGCACGCACGTCGAACTCCATCCAAAACTTCCATCACCGACGCGAGGGCACCGTCATCGTCGTCGGCGCGATTAACGTCGGCGCCCGCACTGGCCGCGCCGTCGTCGTTGGCAACATCTTCACCAGCATCGCTACTACCATCATCGTGTCTACCGTTGTCGACGTTGCCATGGTACCGCGCCCGCCCAAGTCGCCGACGCGCACCGAAGTGCCCGCTGGGATGTGCTCAGCGGTCAGCGCCAGCGCGGCCGCGTCGGTCGCGCCAAATTAGCTCGCCGCTGCGCGCGCGTGATTGGGTTGGCGCGGCTGCAGAGATGTACCAGCCAACGCCAAGCACACATCGCAATCGCGACCACATGCGTTTGGCAAACCAAGCTGCGGGTGGATGGGTGGGATGTTTGCAAGAGCGTGGAACACGTTAACTCGTTTAAGAACATGTATTGCGTAGCGTAGTTCGCACCCAAAATCGTGCGCAACATGGGCCATAAACCACTGGCTGCACCACATATATTGCACCCCGCCGGCTGCACCACTTGGATTGCACAAGCAACACCGGTTGGGGCCAACGTAGACGACAAATGTGGATACATAAAACAAGAAGGAACACGTTTCGTGAACGCTCGCCTGGACAAAACATGTTGACACGATGGAGCCGGGAGGGGAGGGAACACTGAGCGCCCTTGAAAGAATACCCCCCTTTGGGCACTTGCTTCCCTAACTGGCCACCTTCCCCCCCCCCCTGGGGAAGGAGTGCTGCGGGTTCCCGAAGGATTTCTGAAGGATATCTGGAAGATTTGTGAAGGACTCCTGAAGGACGTCCGAAGGAGTCCTGAAGAATTTCTGTGGCGTCCTCAAGACTCCTGTTCCTGGGGATTCCTTCGGGTCTCGTGCCCTTGGGGGTTCGGGGGGCTCCCGAACCCATGCGGAAGGAGAGGGTTGCCGAACGCGTCGGCTTCCCCCCCGCCGCCGCCGCCGAGTCGTTCGGCCCCCGCCTCCTGTCTCGCGGGCGCGGGTTTTGCCCAAGCCCCCGAGGGCGACGCTTCCATTGGAAGCAGTTCGTGCCCGGGCGAGTCCGGGGGCCCCTGGACCCATGGGGAAGGCGAGCGTGGCCGAACGGTTCACTTTGCCCTCCGCCGCCGCCGCCGAGCCGTTCGGCCCCTTCTGCTCTCCCGCGGGCGCCGGGTTCTCCGCAGGCCCCAGGGCGACGCTTCCAGTGGAAGCGTTTCGCGCCCTCAAGGGGGCGGGTGCGCCCCCCAACCCATGGGGACAGAAAGGGGGGCCGAACGGGTCACCTCGCCTTCGGCCGCCGCCGCCGCCGCCGCCGCGTCGTTCGGCCCATGCCTCTTTCCCTGCGGGCGCGGGATTCTCCAAGCTCTACAGGACGACGCTTCCAATGGAAGCGTATCGTGCTCTCGTGGGTTCGGGGCGCTCCCAACCCACGGAGAGGGAGAGCGAGGCCGAACGAGTCGCCTTGCCCTCCGCCACCGCCGCCGCCGAATCGTTCGGCCCCCGCCTCCTGTCTTGCGGGCGCGGTGCTCCCCAACCCGCCGGAAGCGACGCTTCCAATGGAAGCGATTCGTGCCCTAGGGGGTTCGGGGAGCCTCCGAACCGATAGGGGGAGAGGGTGGCTGAACGAGTCACCTTGCCCTCCGCCGCCATCGCCACCTTGCCCACTCCCCTGTCACATGCATGTCCAAACAAACGCATAAACGCCTGACTTGTCGCGTATCTCCACCAGCCCGTCCAGACACGATCGGAGGCTTTCTTGAATCCTCTTGGAGGGTAGTGAGAGCCCTCGTCGGCTAGAGGCTGTCGGAAGCTATCCTGGGCCATGCCCAACTATCTTGGGCAACTTTGAAACTATCTCGAATCCTCTGGGAGGTCTGCTGACACCGCCTCCAAGAGGTATTCCGTGACATACGCTCCTTGCCGTTGCAACGCCCATTCGCGCTGGAGACTGGTTCGATTGACGAACGCAGTCTTTGGACCACATCAGTCATACAACCTTTCCTTAGCTCCTTGTTGCGCTAAAAAACTTGTTGGAGGTCTGTCGGGGGCTATCTTGAGCCATGCTCGACCTCCTGCGACCAGCAGGTTGGGGTGGGAGGGAGAGGAGGAGGAGGAGAAGGAGGAGGAGGAGAAGGAGGAGGAGGAGGAGGAGAAGGAGGAAGAGGAGGATGAGGAGGAACAGGAGTAGGAGGGAGAGGAGAAGGAGGAGGGAGGAGAAAGAGGAGCGTACATAGGGAGGAGTGGGAATACGAAGAGAAGGAGGGGGAAGATGAGGAATGCAGCGCGAGAAAGATGAGGAGGAGATAGAGGAGGAGGAGGAGGAGGAGGAGGGAGGATGCAGGAAAGGAGGAGGAAAGGAACTGACGATGACAAGGATACTCGCAAGTCGGGTTTTGGATGTGTTGATGTGGAAGGTATGTGGGTATGTATTGTGAACACATGTTGTTGTGGTGATGGATCTATGTTGTTGTCTTGAGATGATCCTGGGTTGCTCGAGGCTGCTGCTGCAAGACAACACAGGTCCCATATGCCAGAAAGTACGCTAGTACCAATTCCAACCGTGGCACTCATGTTGACTTCCAGAGTGGGTTGTAATTTTAAGAAGTCCATTTGCTGTTTGAATCGTACTGGCACGCTGTACAAATGGAATCCCGTTGTCGGTCCAAGATGGCTGGCTGTAGTTGGCCCCAATTTTTTGGGGGGCTGGTTCAGAAGTGATCAGGTCGGTTGTAATTGGTACCAGTCGGTTGGGATTGGTCAGACATGTGGTTCGAACCGGCCGCCCACCTGTCCAAGGGAGGGGGCTGCAACCAGCTCCCTCTCACTTTGCAGGGTGGGGCGGTTCGAACCAGGGGGGTGATCCTCGCTTGCTCCCCCTGAAAGAATCTTATCGAAAACTCGAAACTACTCTAATAGAGTCCTACCATGTATGGATCCAGCTTTGAACGAATCCTAATCTAGCTGGGTCCAACCCTGACTTGATTCTACTGAAGTCTGATGCAAAACTAACAAACTCCAACTGCACATAGATCCAGCTTTACTTGCATCCTAGTGGGGCCCAATCCAACTCCCCCTCTGTCGGGCGGGTCTGGTTGGGCGAATGCATGGAACTCGCGTTTCTTGGTCGCTGGTTCGCTCGCCCGCTCGAGCAAGCGCGCGAAGGAGCGAGCAAGACGGGCGGTTCGGGTCGGGCGGGCGGGTCATTAAATACATGGTGCTCGCTTGCTCGCTCGCTGGCTGGAGCAAGCGTGCGAGCGGGCGGGCGACGGAAGAAAGGTGTCGGTCTTCTCGCCCGCTCGCCCGCTCGGGCAAGCGAGCGAGTCGGGCGGGTTGGGTCGGGCGGGCGGGATATTCAATGCATGGTGCTCGCTTTCTCGCTCGCTCGCTCGCTCGCTCGAAAGCGGCGAACGAGCGAGCCGGGCCGGTCGGGCCACAGGCGGGCGGGATCGTGAGTGCATGGCGTGGTGCTCGCCTGCACGCTCGCTCGCCCGCTCGAGCAAGCGCGCGAGGGAGCGAGCAAGTCGGGCGGTTCGGCTCGGACGGGCGGGTCACTGAATGTATGGTGCTCGCTTGCTCGCTCGCTCGCTCGCCCGCTCAAATTAGCGCGCAAGAGAGCAAGCAGGTCGGGCGGTTCGGTTTAGGCGGGCGGGTCATTAAAATACATGTTGCTCGCCTGGTCGCTAGCTCAAAAAAGCGAGCGAGAGAGTCGGGCGGGTCGGGTCGGGCGGGCGGGACATTCAATGCATGGTGCTCGTCTGCTCGCTCGCTCACTCGCTCGCCCGCTCGAGCTAGCGTGTGAGCGAACGAGCGAGCACTCGTCCTCGTCCTCGCCGCCGCCGTCGCAGTCGCAGTCGCCGTCGCCGTCGCCGTCGTCGCCGTCATCGTCGCCGTCGCCGTCGCCGTCGCCGCCGCCGCCGTCGCCGACGCCGTCGCCGTCGTCGTCGCCGTCGTCGTCGTCGCCGTGGCAGTCGTCGCCGTCGCCGTCGCCGTGGTCGTCGTCGTCGTCGTCGCCATCGCCGTCGTCGTCGTCGTCGTCGTCGTCGGGCCCCCGCCAGGCCGCCTTCAGCAGAGCGCCCGCCGCGGCGGCGTCCCCCAGCGGCGCGAGGCTGCCGAGCGTGGCGGCGGCAGCGCACCGGGCAGGCGCGGGCGCCGCGGCCTGCGAGAGCACGCCGAGCGCGGCCGCCGCCGCCCTGCGGCGGGCGCCGCCGCCGCCGCGCCGCGCAACCGATCGATCTCGACGACGACGGCGACGACGACGACGACGACGACGGCGACGACGACGAAGACGACGACGACGGCGGCGACGACGACGACGGCGGCTCTTGAACGATGAACATTAACCCGTGTCCGCGCCCGGGCGGATGCGGGCAATGTTCATCGCTCAATACGCTGATACGCGGTCGCACGTATATGCTCCACGCGGGGCATCCGCGACAAAAACGTCCCGTACCCGTGGGGTCGCCGCTCAGGGGCTCCGCGCGCGAGGCCGCGGATATGAACATGTTTTTCGCCAGCGACGATCGGGATGGATCCTCTTGGGCCTCATTCGCGCCGTTTGGGAGCCCCTGTATGGGGTCCTCTGGTGGGACTCGAGAAGGGCACTCTGTCCTCTCGGCTCAGGAACAGACAACATCGCATCGGAAAACTGGATCTCGGATCGACACGGAGCCAGAATCGGATCGAATCGGCCACGCCAAGGTACACAACAGCGCCATGGCCATGCAAACGCTCGGCCGCACCATATCGTCAGAATATCGGAATCGGATGAGATACAGCTGGCCGGACTCTATATCGAATCGGATCGATCGGATGGGCCGTCTTTTTCCCCAGCCTTCCTGCGCTGGGTCCTCGTTCTGAATATGGAGCGCCGCTTCGACTGTCCTTCCTCCCGTACCATCTTCCCTCATCATCCCTTCTGCCTCCAACCCAGACGCCTTCCGTCGCGTTTTTGTTCACAACGTTGCTCCCCCGTGGTCTGAACCCTTCCCCTAGGACAAGCTATTCATCCTATAGAAATCTTTGCCGGCGGTCCCAAACCCGGCGAGGGCCCCCCCGCGTAAAAAACCCTGAGTCGCATTTTTGTTGCAAAGCGAACAGATCTCAGGGAACCTCGTCTCCCTGGGTGCTGCGACCTGTCGCCAGCTCCTGGGTGGCTCCTCCTTCTCCTCCTCCTCTTCTACTCCTCCTCCTCCTCCCCTCCTCCTCCTCCTCTGCCTCCTCCTCCTCCACCTCCTCTTCCTATTCCTCCACCTCCTCCTCATCCTCCCCCTTGGCCGTTTGGTGCTTCTTGGCGGTCCTCGCCGAGCCCCGGGACCGTGACACAATCAGCCTGGCGAGGACCCAACCAGATGCAGTTGTGAGCACCGTCGTTGTGAGTTATCGCCTTCGGTGGATCTCCTCCTGGGGCCACGAAGCGCCTGAATGGTGTGCCGAGCTGTGGCGGGGCCGGCATGCAGGCGCTGCCACTGGGGCCTTCGAGCATGGCGAGGGAACTGAAATGAAGGGGGGCCAGCAACAGGGGGCCACTGAGGCCTTCGGTGGAGCACCCTGTAGTGCCGAGAAACGTGTGAGAGGTTCGCCGGAACGAGGGGTGGAACCGAATGCGGGTGCTGCCACTCGGGCTTTAGGTGGAGGTCCTTATGGGGTCACGGCACGTGTGAAGGACTCACCGAATTTAAGGGTGGAACCGCATGCGGGCATTGCCATCCCTATGGGGCACCGAAACGTGTGAAGGGTACGCCGCGTCGGATTGGCGGTGGAACCGCATACGGGCGCTGCCACTGGGGCTTTCGGTGGAGCTCCCATGGGGCTCTGAACCGTGTGAGGGGTGCACAGACATAAGGGTGGAACCGCAGACAGGCACTGCACTGGGGACTTCGGTTGAGCACCTTATATGGCCACGGAACGTGTGAGGGGTGCGACAACATGGAGGTGGTACTGCATACGGACCCTGCTCCTGGGGCCTCGGGCGGGGCACCCGATGGGGCCACGAAGGCCACGAAACGTGTGAGGGGTGCGCCGTATTAGAGGGGGAACTGCACGTGGACCCTGCAACTGGAGCCTTCGGTGGAGCACCCTAAGAGGCCACGAAACGTGTGAGGGGTGCGCCGGATTGGGGGTGGTGGAACTGCATGCGGACCCTGCCACTGGGGCCTTCGGTGGAGCACACTATGGGCCACGAAACGAGTGAGGGGTGCGCCGAAATGGAAAGGAAACTGCATGCGGACCCAACCACTGAGGCCTCCGGTGTAGCGCCTTATAGGATCACGGAGCGTGTGAGGGGTGCGCCGACATGTAGGTAGAACTGCATGTGCCCATATGACGACGATGAGGACACGCGGAGGGCAGAGGCAAGGGATGAGTGAAGGGAGGAGGGGAAGGAGGAGAGGAACGGGAACGCGGAGCGCTGTCTATTCAAAATGGGGACCCAACACCAGAAGATGAACTCGGGATAAAACAACCGGCCCTGAGGGGAGGATCGGTACTTCCGGGGGCCGCGCATTCAAAAATACCAGACATCGCATGTCTGGGCCTCCCTCCCGCCTCCCTCCTCCGCCGGAGGGAGGGAGGCGGGACCCCCCATCCTGCGGCGCGAGAAGGAGATGGAGGTCGACGACGAGGAGGGCGACGAGGAAGCGGAGCCGAGGATGGGGCAGGAGGAGCAGACTTCGACGACGACCGCCGCTGACGTTGCCCCCTGGTTTCCAGGTCATCACTCGACCCTCCCGCGGCCCGTCGGGGCGAGGCAGGCACCCCCGGCGCGGCGAGAGGCAACTGGGAAGTCACCCCGAGGCCGGACAGTCGCCGAGAGAACGTCCGAAAACGCCCGAGAACGTACGACCACGCCCACCACGGGGACGACCACGACGACGACCCCAGCGCGGCCCGACCGCCGCCTCCCGGCGAGGAAGAGCCAACTTATTCGAGCCTCGAAGGCGAGGCCTTCTCTGGAATGCCTCACATACGCACATTCACGCACGCGCACGCGCACGCGCACGCGCACCCAAATGTCGGGCTAACGGCGATGTTGCTGAACGGACCAGGACTTCCTGCATGCGCAGGCTGCGACTGGAGCGAGCGAGCACGACGGAGGAAAGCGCGAGCCACGCGTTCCCACACCACCGGCACCTACATCCTACAAAGCCGCTAGCCCGTCTACGGTGGACGCCCTGGACCCTTCTGACAGAAGCCACTTGGCATCTCAGAGGGCTGCCCCAATTGTCCCACCGCGCCGCCAGACAGTGCCAAGCAGGGACGAGGACGACCAGGAAGCGGAGGCGAGGAGGGTAGGAACAGGGAAAAACGACACCAGCAACACCAGGGACCATCAGCGGGAGGAGCCAGGGAGGAGTCCTCCCGGTGGTGAAGTCCCCCCCCCCTTTCGCTCGAGGCGTCCTCTCTGTCCCCAGCAGCGGGGGAGGCATCGTGGACCTCCTCGCGGGAGGCGGCTCCCTGGTGGTGTTGTTGTCGCTCCTCCTCCACCCCATGAGGGGCCCGCGGGGTGGCCGTCGACCACGACGCGGACCGCGGCGGCGACGACCGCAACCACGACGACGGCGACGGCGGCGACGACGACGACGGCGGCGACGACGACGACCGGCGGCGGCGGCGACGACGCTGGCGGAGGCCTCGCGTCGCCCCGCTCGGCGCACGCGGCGAGCACCGCCAGGGCCTGCTCGGCCGACGCGGCGCCACACGTCGCCGCGGCCCCGCAGGCGGCCACCGCCTCCGCAAGCCCGGGGGGGGGGGAGGAGGAGGAGGAGGAGGAGGAGGAGGAGTGAGGAGGGAGGAGGAGGAGGAGGGGAGGAGGAGGAGGAGGAGGAGGAGGAGGAGGAGGAGGAGGAGGAGGAGGAGGAGGAGGGAGGAGGAGGAGGAGGAGGAGGAGAAGGAGGAGGAGGGAGGGGAGGAGGGGGGGGAGGAGGGGGAGGAGGGGGAGGAGGAGGAGGAGGAGGAGGAGGAGGCGGAGGAGGAGGAGGAGGAGGAGGAGGAGGAGGAGGAGCAAGACGTGGAAGAGGGCCTCCTCTTCGCCCCCGTATATCCGTGGCGGCACCAAAGACAAAAACGTGACCGGGTGTGGGTGCGGGTTTTGGCCGCGCAACGGCGGCGCCCCTCCGCCCCCGGGGGCGCCACCGAGCGTGCCCGGGGGGGGCGGGGGCGCCACCGAGCGGTGCGGCGTGGCGTTTGGGATCACGTTGCCGTTGCGTATTATATATATATATATATTTATATTTATAGGTGTAATTATATATTACACCTATTATAAATTATGAGAGAGAGGAGGAGAGAGGGAGTGAGAGATGAGAGAGAGAGAAGAGAGAGAGAGAGAGAAGAACAAACAAAAAAAGGGAATAGAAGAGAGAGAGGAAAAAAGGGGATAGAGAGAGAGAGATAACAAACAAACGAGAGAGAGAGAGAGAGAGAGAGAGAGACAGAGAGAGAGAGAGAAAGAGAGAGAGCGAGGAGGACGAAAAACACGCGGCCCCCGCAGCATGAGCTCAGCAGGCGGAGCAAGGGGAGGGGAGGCAGGGAGGACGAGTGGTGCGGGGAAGGGTGGGGAAGACGAGGGAGGGGGAGGCGGGAATGAGGGACGAAGGGCGGGCGGACGGAGTGAGGAGGTGAAAGGTCAAAATGATGCTGAAGATCCCCCCAAGTCGCTTCCTATATGAATGCGCGAAAAAAGACTCCCGCCCCCACATGAGGAACTTTAGACGAATGGGCCCGTCAAACGACGCGTTACCTGCAAGCGGACACAACTCGACGGTCAGCCAATGACAACGCCGCGCAATTCAATGCGAACGGCGCGCTGCTGCTATGCTCATTGGCGTTTGAACTTGGCGTTGATGTTCGCGCGCTCGTACCAGGGCAGAAACCAAGGGGCGCGTCGGCCTTTGGCGACGCTGGCAAGAGCCTGGGACGGCACCCGAGGCCCGCCCCGCACGGGCGCGCATCGAAAAAGGTTTGATCCACCCCAAAAACAAAACTTCGGTACCAAGCGAAAAAAGTGCGTATATGTATGTATGTATATATATATATGAAAAAAGCTTAAAGCATCGGTCTGAATTTCTCCGAAACGAAAGGTCTCGCGCGGGAGAGCCCCAGACAATTTATATAAACAGAGGATGTGCCTATACAAGC